CTTATTTAATACTTTACCTTCATATGTATAAATAAACACGCAGGGTTGGGTTAGTCATTGCCAATGCAAAGGTGGTTTGGTCATTACACATGTGATCCGCCTGATGATAAGCACATGGATCATTGCCCTGGCTATTTCCTTATATGCTTGTGAGAGTAGAGATGGCCAACTCTCCATCTATTATGCTGGGAGATAAGGTGGTTGCAGGGGAGGACCACGGTGTGAGAGGCATGAGACGAGCGTTTTACCCATTCTCAAGTTGATGGTCCAGGGTTTGGATCATGAGCTTGTCAGTGAGAAGTTTGTGTTGGATGGCTAGGAGCATTTTGGTAAAGATGTTCGTTGTTTGATTTAAAGGCATGATACATTGCACTTTGATCTTAGTTTGTTTAATGTGGTCAGGAATGAAGCGACATTCTACCTTAATATGTTTAGTTCTAGCATAAAAGACTGGAATGAGCATGAGAGCTATGACCGACTTATTTTCAGTGACTGGCTATAGATAATTTTAAGGGTTTGTTGAGTAAGTTCTTGTAGAATTCTTTGGAGGATATCAGCAGTTATGAGGCTAAGGCTCTATATTATGCTTATGGGGAAGATCTTGCAATTGTGAAATGTCTTTTTTGTTGACCAGGAGACAATATTATTACCCAAAAAAAATGTAATCATATGATGGATTTGGGGTCTTCTTGATTACTAGCCCAATGCACATCTGCATATGCTTGTGGTTGAAGCTTTCCCATCGTGATGGGTAATCTGTTTTTAGTGTACCCTTGAGGTTTCTGAGAATTCATTCAAGGGGTTATTTGTGTGTTGTTCGTGCATTATGCATGTGTTGATTTAGGAGGTTGGTAATATAGCTTATGTATGGTCGTGTGATAGTGAGGTATTGTGGAGAGACTAAGATTTGTCTGTAGGTATAAGGATCATGGATTTGTGTGTTTGTGGTGCTTTGGTTGTGATGTTTGGATGCTAAGGTGTGGGTACGAGATTGGAAGCTAATGTGATAGTCTTATAAACGCGATCAACTAGATAGTTACTATGTTCCATGAAGTTTCCTTATGAGGTGTGATGTATTTAAAGTCTCAAAATATATGTCCTAACTTGTTTAGGTTGAAGTGTTGACTAAACTTGTGGATGAGTGCGTTGATGGTTGTTGGGAAGTTACTAGTAATGAGAATGTCGTCAATGTAGACTTGTTGGCAGATGGTAATGTTGTTGTGGTTTTATATGAGAAGAGAGTGATCGACTATGCTTACTGTAAAGTTTTAACTTTAAGGATCTGTGCAAAAGGTAGACTATCATTGAAGGAGATCTTGTTTCAGTCCATAGATGGCTTTATTGAGTTTTCACACATGGTCTATATATATTTCTTCTGAAAATCAGTGAGATTGAGACGTGTAGATCTTGTCTTCTAGCTTCCCAAAAATAAATGCAGTGAAGATATCAAGTTGTTCGATGTGCTATTTGAAATTTTTTGCAAGGGATAGAAGTATGTATATGTTGGAAAGTTTTGCATTTGAGCTCAATGTTTAATTGCAGTCAATGCCTTCTTATTGTGAGTACTCTTTTGCTACAAGTCTGGCTTTGTATTTTGCTATCATCCCATCATAGTAATTTTTTTTCTTGTATGTTCATTTACTGCCTAGCCCAACCTGATCTTTGGGTGGTGGTACGAGCGTCCAAGTACCTCTTGCAGGAGGGCCATGAATTTTGTGGACATGGTTTTAAGCCAATGAGAGAACTTGGTTCCTTGGGTGTATGTTGTGGGGTCCATAGGTGTGAAGGTGTGTGAAAGATTGAGTATTTGTTTTGGCTAAAGTGATCCTATTTATTGTCTTGCTAACATCATATGTTTTTTTGTTGGGTGGGTTGGTTGGAGTGTGTATGTGATGTTGGGGGTTGGGAGTTGGAAGATAGAGAAATTGAGGATGGGTTACAGGGAGTTTTATTAGGAGATATGTGTAGTAGGCATGAGTGGGGTGTCTGGTCTTCGGGGTATGTTGAATTTGTGTTGATAATGTGGTTCATTGTTGTTTGTGTGGTTGCGGGATGTATAGAGTGAGTATATAGTGGATGTTGGGATGAGTAAATGAAAGGTGGATTGTTGACTGGAGATGGATTGGGTTTATGTGATTAAGGTTGCTTTAATGGAAAAATGTCTTCCATTAATGTTACATGCCTGAATAAGAGAAGTTTGTTATCGTGTGTGTCCAAGCACTTGTATCCTTTGTCTTTTTGGTTGTAGCCCCAAGATGACATAGAAGGAAGCTTTGATGTTGAGTTGTGCCATAAAGGATGGTGTCATGGAAAACATGCACAACCAAATGTTCTTAAGAGATCATAACGAATTTTTTTACTATTAACTAGTAGAGTAGGGGACTTAGCATGTGTGCTGTACTGGTGGGAATTCAATTAATTCGATAGGAGGTCATATGCATGGCTTCACTCCAACATTGAGTTGGTAGGTGGTCAAGTCGAGTTGAGTAATGCTCTAGTTGGCTTGATGAGGTGTATGTGTATTCTTTCAGCTCAGGTCTGTGTGGACTGCTCATTTGGTGTTGAATGCATTGAGTTTGTAAATAAAGCTGAAGTTGGCCTGAAGTATATTCACTTATCCCATCAGTTTTAAGATATCCATAGTTTTGTTGTAATTGTTTAGCAATAGTTTATGTAAGATTATAAAGTACTAAGCTGCATCAGATTTAGCATGCATGGAAAGGATCCAACAATAGTAAGAATATTTACCAATAAAAGAAATGTGTTATTTAAAAGTATTGATATATGGAAGGGGAAAGGGCCTTCATACATCATTATGTATTAATTCTAATATCATATATATACCATTGATATAAGAAAAATGTAATATGTTGCTTTTGCTTTAATGACATGTTTGACACGTTGCTGATGTTACCCAAATCTTGAGACTGATGTTGTCATTTATATGTGAGAGAGAACTTTTTTTGTGAGGTTATCCCAAACATTGATGTAAGATATTATATGAGGGTGTGATGTAGAGAGTAGTGATGTGATGCACCCCTTTTAGCTGGGCTTGTAAGGAATGTTTTTCGTGTAGCTATATCCTACATCTGGTAATTAGAAGAATCAAATGAGATTATACAATTGCTATATTTTGCTAATTTTTTAACAAGGAGAACATTATGAGATGAATGGGGTGTTCTATAGATAGAAAAGAGTGTCAATTTACTGCTAGGGGTGAGGAGTAGTATATTGCCTGAATGAGGGATGTAAGTGATATGACCATTGCCTATGGTGACCTGATCGATGCCTTGATAGTGTTGTTGGTTTTGCAAGTTCTTAAGATGTTAGTACAATAATTCAGACTATTTTTGACGGTCTTATGCCAAATATTAAAAACTGTCAGTTAATAAAAATCTGATAACTCTTTGACGATTTATAAGGGATAGCTAATTTGCTTGTTAGAAATTGTTATAAAAAATGATGACAATAAAGCGAAAAATCAGATCGAGAAAATTCACAAAACAGAAAAAAATCGGAACACACAGATTTTAAGTGGTTCTGCAAATTGTCTAAATCCACAGAGCTGTAGAGGATTTTATTAACTTGAGGATTACTCTCTCTCTCTCTCTCTCTCTCTCTCTCTTCATCTCTCTCCCCTCTCTCTTCCCTTTCTCTCTCCTCTCTCTCTACCCGAGATCACACCTGCAGGTTTTATTGGATGAGATCAGGAGGAGTTGTTTTTAGCTTTGTATTAATCCATTATTTAAAGAAGCTTAAAGGCCCATTTAAGGAAACCTAAATTCGGGAACCTAGCTTTGGCGGGATCCACTTATGGAGAGGAATCCAGGCGATGCTTCACAAAAGAAATCCAATTAATTAGCTATTAATTTCCAATTACCTACCATAACAGTAGGTTTTTATCAGCAGAGGGCTTACCGACATGTAGTATCCGTAAGTTTATACTATAAGCATGACTATTGATAAGTCGTTGGTTTAGGTTCCGATATATAGATGATGGATGGTCATGAGCCATCGATTAATATCGAAAAAAATACTCATTGTTTATCTGGCTGATCATCTGTGGTGCATCGACGATTGGCTATCGGTTAATTACAAAATGAAACCTTTATCAATTGCTCCAGAGTTAGTTCATAACTAGGTTGAATGGTTTGATGCACAGCACTAGAAATATACAAATGCAGTTGCATTTATTATTTGAATTGGAGTTTTCACATCAATTCAACCCAACTACATGTGCTTGATGCACAATACAAGAACAGTGGATCTCAACAAATAGTTGTATGAGATTATTTAGTTAGAAAAAGACTTAAATTCATTCATTTCAGGAAAAAAATAAAACTTTTGGCAAATTTTGAATAGAACAGCAAGAGTTCTGCATCCAATCAATGTTAAACTGTTGGAAGTTTTCTCCAATTTATATGATATTAAATGGTTTTTTGACTACTGCATCAATATATTCGATTCCCGATGGATTTTAATGGGATTTCAAAATACTTTATTTTTGTAATTGATTGAAATAAATGACACGCTCGATAGTAATTATATTAAAAGAATGCTTTTTTTAGCAAATGTGATGTGTAAATAAAATTAGTTATTGTCAATAACATGATTTGTTAATTAAGCTAATGCATAAACATAGTAACATTTATATGCTTAATATAGCAATTAATGGTCCGACAATCAATGCCGTAATGCCAATAAATAGAAACCATCGCAAAATTGTTCTCTTATCTTCATAGAAATTTCCTATTTTACATGCATTAAACTAAATCAGGAAAAAAAAAAAATCTCTAATACATAAATATACTAATATCTCTTCAAGATCATATATGCCAACCCATTAATACCTTTCCCCAAAAATATCACAATTTCATCAAAAAAACTTGTAGCAAATTTTGAATAATATTCTCCTAATTTTATTCCATATATGTTCACACTTAACTCTTTATCTTCTCTATAAAAACTCATCCAAACTCTTCTACCTCCAACCTACACCAATGAATCCCATCCTTCTCTTCTTCCTTCTCTCCCTTTCCATCCAAATCATCCCTCGTCCATCAACTCTTCACGTAGCCGCAGCTGACATCGTCATCCACACTTGCAAGCAGGCCGCGGCAGGGAATCGCGAGCTCGACTTCAACACCTGCTTGTCTGTCTTCAACTCCACGTCCGAAAGCCGCAGAGCAGACCTCAAAGGTCTGGCAATAATATCAATCCGCTTCACCAAACACTATGCCCAACAGTTGCTTGCGGATATCGACAATTTGATCAAGCAAGAGCCTAAAAATACATTTAAGAGGAAGTGTCTGAGCACTTGTGAAGAGATTTATTCCGATGCAGTGAGCAATCTTGAAGAAGCTGTCGAAGCTGTCGAGTCGGGAAGAATTAATGATGCTCGGATTGAACTCAGCGCGTCTTTTGATGCAGCTGATACGTGTGAGGAATGTTTTCCTGACGGCCAAATTCAGTCTCCGCTCACCAAGGAAGATGATTATTATACGGGAGTCGCTAGGGTTTCTCTTGCTGTTGCTGCTCTCCTTGACCAATAATTCGTACTAATATGTTAATGTAGTTTTTATGTGTATCAAGCAGTAGATGTTTTGATAAAAGAGAATAGAGAGTTCGGTTGTGTTGGTTATTAGACTAACAACGATGGCATGTAGCATATTTTTGAGTTATTTAGGTGGAAAGATCATTATGAAAAGATTTTATCGTGTCGGACAAACTGCAATTTTCGTAAGATTTTATTTTTGTTATGATCCATCTGTGACAATTGATATTCAAAGAGAGAGCTTCGTGTAAAAATGTAAAATTGTATAAATTGTGAGATGTTGTAATTGTTCTTTGGCTACTAGTAATTTAGAGATAACTCAAATTCTTTGCATTATTGTTGCGATCAATCCTTATGTTGATGCTTCAATCAATCACCTCCAATGTGCTTATATATATATATATAATATTGTTTATTTGAATTATTAATATGAGATATTGCTAATGGCAATTATCGTTGGTTGTCATGATTAGCCAAGGAGACACAATGATATGATAATTTTGCCAAGGATGCGACTGAGCTGCATCTATTATTGATAGCTATTACTAATATTCAGCATAACGACACATTATAATTCTTAAATTTTTTCTATATGTCAAAAAAACATCATAAGCTTCCATGCGATTGGATAAAATAGTGGTTGAGATATTTTGATTTTATGAGAAAGATCAGTGATATATAGTCACTTGGGATAAATTTTAATCTTTACAAATTCTTTCTCAGAAGGATCATAAACATCAATTTGAATTGCCCTTGTTGAAAAACATTAATAGAAATAATGGAATGTATACTATAATGTATAATATAATGGCCATTAAAGACAAAAGATTAACAGAATGTATACTGTAATGACTTAATTTAAAAAATGATAGAGCTTTAATGATCTATAAGGAAATAATTATTAGGCTTATATTTGCTTGAACATTCACGCCCTTTATGTGTGTGTAGGCAATGAATAGTTATTTCTTATGACCACATAATTCAATTTTCTATAATCAATATACTTATGAATCATGTCATTATTTTTCCTCACAGCTATTATAAATCTCTCATATGAGATACACTGTGCCTGAAAGAATTGATGTCCATAAACGCCTGCAAGTGCAACATTAATTTATACAATTTATTAGGTGTAATTGTTGAAGGGGCCTTTGCAATAGGAAATGTATCTAAAGGTGTAAACAAGTAGAGCTTGCACAAACCCAGGCTCAACTCATATTCGGCGTGCTAAAAAATACCACTATTTGTGTTTGACTTTTTTATATATCAAGCCCAAAAAAATTGTCTGTGTTTAGCTTGTTTGTTTAGCAAGCTGAACACGAACTATTCGCGAGTAACAAATAGTTTTGACAGCCCTAGTCAAGTGTGTTTGACTTTTTTATATATCAAGCCCAAAAAAATTGTTTGTGTTTAGCTTGTTTGTTTAGCAAGCTGAACACGAACTATTCGTAACAAAAAGTTTTGACAGCCCTAGTCAAGCCTAGTCAAGTAGATGTAGGATATTAAAAGAGTAACGGGCGAGATTTAAATCGTCACTACAAGAATTAAGCAAATTTGTGTCGGCAATATCAAACTAGGGGTGTAAACAAGCCGAACATGAGCGAGCCCAGGCGTAGCTCGTGTTCTGCCCGCTTATATTTGGCTCTCAAAAAGTGTGTTTGTGTTCAGCTCGTTTGCTTAACGAGCCGAACACGAGCTGTTCAAAAACAAAGAGTCGTTTTGACAACCGTAATCACGTAGCCAAAAGAAGTTAAGGATTGGGACAAGATTTAAAAATTATTGTTTATATTATAACATTAGTTGAATCAAATATAAGATTTTTTTTTGGTTATTCACGAGCTGTTCAAAAACAAAGAGTCGTTTTGACAACTGTATTCACGTAGCCAAAAGAAGTTAAGGGTTGGGACAAGATTTAAAAATTATTTTTTATATTATAACATTAGTTGAATCAACTATAAGATTTTTTTTTTGTTATTTCATTTTCTGCATTCAACAAAGTTTAAGCACTGGCTTTGATTCGAACCCTGAATTTTTTTCTTTCAGATCTATTTTGGTTTTTTCTTTTTTTTTCTCTTAACATTTTTTAATTCCCTTTTTTTTTGCATTTTTATTTTTTTTTCTTATTTTAATTTTTATATTTTTTACATAAGAAAATCCGACTTCTTAGCAAACAATTTCTCCATTTTATTCTTTGGACATAACTTTAGTTGGAATTATTATTTTAAAATAATAGAATAAAAATTCTCTCTCTCTCTCTCTCTCTCTCTCTCTCTCTCTCTCTCTCTCTCTATTTATCACTAATCTAATCCGAACATAAATAATTTTTTTCCTGTTTTAGGTTTTAATTTTCTTTCTAGACCATGCTTTAATTGGCTAGGATGAGCCACATTTTTTATTTAAATACGTGACAAGATTATGATACATTTTCGGTTTAACTTTTTTTTTATTTGCCTGAATTTAACCCCTGAAATTGAATTCGAAGAGCTTGAAGTTGGTTCGGGTTGATTTGGATGATTTCGGGCTATTCTGGAAGAATCAGGGCAGTTGTGCATGCCCCATGAAGTTATTAAATGAATCTAGACAGTTGGAAAGGCTCTTGAAGTGAAGATGTGTGCCTCTTTGAGTGAAAAGGTATCTCTTAGAGTGAAGATGTGTTTCTCTTGGAATGAGGTGGTGCTTGGTTTTTCTTTAAAAGGGGGGTTGGTGTCTCTTTTAGGGGGGATATAAAGGAGTTTGGAGGCTTGGAGTGAGAGTTCGACGTGCCTCTTCAAAGAGGCGTGTGTGTGTTGTGTGCCTGAATGGAGATGTAGATTTCTACTTTTTCTAGAGAAATTGGTGAGGAATTTTGAGAGAAATGTGTAAGGCTTGGTTTTTCTTTAAAAGGGGGGTTGGTGTCTCTTTTAGGGGGGATATAAAGGAGTTTGGAGGCTTGGAGTGAGAGTTCGACGTGCCTCTTCAAAGAGGCGTGTGTGTGTTGTGTGCCTGAAAGGAGATGTAGATTTCTACTTTTTCTAGAGAAATGTGTAATAAATTGTATGAGCGTTGCATGGATTAGCGAGAGATTTTGTTGGAGTGATTTTCATCTTTCTTTTAGAGGGAAAAAATTAAGTATCATGTTATTCATTATTTTATAATTGTTGTAAACATTTTCTAGTGGATTTGTTTTGATTTAATGAATTTTTCATTTTTTTTATTCATGCTTCGTGAGTAGCTTTCTTTACTCATTTCTTTTGATAAGAAGTGGTGAAAAGAGTAAAAAAATTTGTTTTAAGATAGAAAAATTTTTAATTCTATGTGATGATTAATATCTCATTCGCTTCATTTACATAACTTAAGTGACAATGAGTTATGTTAAAATATGTTGTAAATGAAACTAAGACTCGGGAGAGTGGTAATCTTGCAAATTGAGTACACTCACATTGTCTGATTGGCTGGTGATGTAGTTTAGGCGACAATGTAACTTTTAAGGAAATATAATTCATGATCAATTTCTATTAGGAGCTTCTACGTGATAGCTAGTTGTGTAAAATTAATAAGATATTAAGCATACTTATTCACTCAGAAGAGGGTAAGTAGACATATGTATCTTGTTAGCACATAATTTACTACATAATTTTATCAATTCTTTAATTGTTTATGTCACCATCTTCATTTTATTTTTCTTTTGCAATAAAATGGATGCATGTTTAAGAATTTAGATTTGCTTTGAAATTCTCCTATTTTATTAATGTGATGGTATTTTCATCGGCTCTTAATTTACTTTGCAAAATGTTCATTTGTAATATTAAAATCAGTTGTGAAACACAATGATCTGGGAGGGCTATGATTTCACTCAAGTTGCAAATACTAACCTTAGGATGGAGGGGAACCAAAGTTTAACATGAGTGCAAGTAGGTAGGGAGATACATTTTGATAGTCGTAGAATTAGTGTTTCAAAAAGTATCAGGTAAGGATGTATCAAGATAATCATTGGATTGGAGAGAAAGTTACGGAAGTTTTTCCTCGTACCCCTTTTTACCACTTATTTAATCGTCAAATTTAGATGGGTGAAAAGGTGGATGAACAACGTTCATAATTATTAGAGTTGGAAGATTGTGAGAAATCTGATGCTTTTGTTGTGTTTATGTGTTGTGTGCCAACTTTAAATTTAAAGTGATTCTAGGACTGCAAACTTGTATTATGTATGTATTTGCTTAATTTTTCATGTCGAATCAATGTTATGTTTGTTCATATTGAACTTATTCATATGATAATAAAATAGTGTCATGTTTGTGTTTTTAATATTTAGTGTTAGAATACTGGAATGATTGGAATGAATTGAATTTAAGAATCTAGTGGTTGTGCGCATGAATATTGGAGGGATGAAGAAACCAATTAACTATCAAAATGATTGTTGAATCTAACATATTAGGGTTGGAAAACCTTAGATTTGTTGTACTCTTTTGAAAATGATAAAAAATTTCAAAATCTGTATGATCGAGCATTTGTGCCTAAGCACCCAAACTGGCGCCTAGGCGTCAAACAGACTGAAATGTTCTAAAACCCGAATCTTGGACCAGTTGACTTCATCTTCTTCCCTATTTTTTGAGATTTTGCACCCTAGGCCTTCTCTTACCTTGCTTATTGAGAGGATTTTCAGATCAAAAAATTTGGAATTCAACAACATTGGATAAGAGCTTCACTTTGCCTTTGAAATTTTTATTTTCTATCATGTATTTTCTTCACATTATAAAATAGTCAAAAATTAAAAATTTGGGTCTATCATGTATTTTCTTCACATTATAAAATAGCCAAAAATTAAAAATTTGGGGGATAATGGTGAAAATTCTATAGTGAATAAAATGTTTTGCTTGAAAAATACTTATAAGAGTTCATGGAATTTATTTGTGGAATTTATTTGGATTTTTATTCAAATTTTTATAGATTTGATTATTACATATAATCCTCACATGGAAAAGTAAGAGTTAAAAATGATTATGAAAGAAAAAGATAAAACAT